CGTGTCGCGGGCGGGAAACCTTCCGAAAAATTTCATCGGATAATCCGCGCGTCTGGCGCTGCCGCCGTTAGAAGCAACACACAAGCGAGCCGTAACAGTTCTCAGACCGGTATTTTTCAGCGATCAAAGGCGCCACTGAGGTCGGATCCTCCGCTCTTATCGCGTCGCGTTTCTGGTTCGAAGCAGCCCGATAACCGACATATCCTTGCCGACCGCCAGTACACCCTCGAGCGCGGAATCTTACCGGACAAAGTTTAATCGCCGAAACCATAAAGAAGACGCAACACGTCGCGTAGATCGCGCGAGATGCTTTTGTGTACCCGATAAAGGGAAAACCGCGGTCGGCCCGCGATAAAACTATTCCGACACCGCTCGCGTGGCTCGTGCCCGCGGCTCGCGTCTAGGGACATAGAACGCTAATTTTAGCCGGCGTTTCTTTTCCCCCCACGGTTTCCGGGACTGACAACAGTTTCTCCCGCGGTTTTCGACGGATCGTCGGCTAGGGTTAACGGCTACGACTCGGTTATCGCTGTGGATCGTAAATCGTATCGAACCGCGATCCGAATATGACATCGAGTCGAGATAGAAGAAATATTTCGTACGATAAATTTCGCACGATTCTCGGAACGAGATGAGTGGCTTTATCCGTGTCCATCTCGATCGATAACGGCGGGAAAACACGATGACGAGGATACCGCGGTTAATCTACGGTACGTGCGAGAGCCTATGACACTATATTTACGTATCCGATAAGGATAGATTGCGTGTTTAGAATATAATTATTTCAGAGATACACTGGAATCTTTGCACGAGTGATAGCCTCTTGACTCTCGGTGATCTGTATGTGGAACAATAAGCTATGAGACGCTGATACACAGATAGCCAACGTTAGATAAATCGCGCAACGTGACCCGCACGTAAATATGCATCTCGGTAAATAATTTTAACTCCCGACGTTCCGCAATCATTCGCGGCGAGTTTTTTCCACGGTGATGATTTTTCTTTGCAGCGTCGCCGCTCTGGCTGTTGCGCAACGAAAATAAAAGGGAGGCCGGATTCCGCAGAACAGGTTAAGGTTAAAATAGGATCAGAGGGGGGCAGCACTGATCTATCCCATTCGGAACCGCATTGTCGCCTTGTGTAATTTCCAGGCAGAAGGGACCGCCGTATTCAAAAGCGTGACATAACAGCATCGGTGAGTCACGTGTTGGCGTAGCTGCCGAAACCAAACAGCCTACGCTCTTTTTTTCAAACAAATCGGTGTTACATAAGCCACCGAAGGGGCAACAAACTAACGCAGGTACGTTCACCGCGACAATTACTTCTCTCCTCGCATACCTGGACGCCACGGGTGAATCGTAGTTCCGGGGGCGTTGCGTAAAAATTTCATTCTAACCTAAATAATTCTGTTCCAGGCATCCACTCGCGTTCCTTCTGTCTCCCGTTTCCGGGAGGGATTTTTAAGGGTCCCGAAGGTGGTCGTTAGGGGACCAGCGGGACGCGTTCGAGACCCGTTAACCGGAAGAGGCAAGTCTGAACTGGTCCAGTTAGAGTTACGACGCATCTTTCCATTTACACCGATGATTATGGGCTCGTTAACCGTTTCGTAATGCCCGTGATTAATGCGGACCGCGTTGCGTTTGTTCTTTCAGTTGACGAGAGTCGGCCGGCCGCCGGTTAGCAGGTTCAGGCAACACGAAAATCGCCGGGCTTTTCCCTGCGCTTTCTCCGGAAGCGAGGCACACGCTCGTTGTAGGACATGCGTGGGAATTGTATGCGCAAACAATTCATCCGGCGTGTCGCCGACGGACCACGCGAGTAGGCGTCCGCGAAAGACGAGTGACCGGAAAACGCGTGCTTGTGCGGAGGCAGGAGAACAAGCGGGCACGCGAACTTAAAAACGAGCAAAATACATTTTAAGAGAGCAGTCAAGCCGGTTATGAGAAGAAATCTGTTGCGAACAGGCCTCGGACACGATTCATTGGAGACATTACCAGCGTTACTTTGCATGTTTCGTTCTGTTCGAGTGCCCTCTGAATAAAAATCAGACGAGTTACAGTTTCTCGGTCTCCTGTTTCAGGCCCTCGCGTCCCAAAGGAACTTTACGGCGTCATTTTCATTAAGACACAACTACGGGACAAATAATACTTTGTTCCCTCAAAGAAAAAAAAAAGAAACAATACTCAAACTATCACCCGCGAAGGGTTAAGGTAATCTTAACAAATCATTCTAATTACCACCATCGTTATCTGGCTCGCCCGATGATTTATGATTACTGTGCAACACTGAGACAGCCGATCGCTATTTTTAGAGAGCAAGCAAACAAATTGAAACGCGTCGAAGTAGGAAGACCAATCGCCACGCTAATCGCGCGTGTACTGGATGTCAGAGTATTAGAAAAGGAAATCAGTTAATTACGGTATGTGGTTAAAAAGTATTTTATTGTTTCCGATGTTGTGAGGTCAGGAGCCCGTTAATCAGTCCCCCGTTCGCATCATTCAAAGGCATTTGAGATTAAACAATAACGCTGCTAACAACACTCTTCCCGCCCCATAAGCATCTAATCAGGAGAGTCGATGTTCTTTCTTTATTCCACGATAAAACCGCGTTTCTTTGAAATGCAGATAGCCGCGCGAAGCCTTTCCAGAGTATTCGCTCCACCCGTGCACGTTCCTCGCATTCCGCAGCGCGTTTTCTTTTTCCCTTTAAGGCCATTGTTATCGTGTAAACGTGTTCTACGGCTTACCGCATTAACGCGCGCCTGATTTTCGTGTCGGCTGTCTGTGCTTCTTTTTTCATCGACCAACTAAATTTAGGCTCGACGTTCCCGACTCGCCGTGTCCCCTGTACCACCCCCGACGACAAAGTGTGTTCAATGAGAAATGGTCCGTGGATAGAATATCGTTTGCATGCTCAACATTGATAGGCAAAAAAAATGGCAAAAAATATTAGCGACCTAACGAGAAGGCAGTGTAAAACGGGTCGACTCGGTTCGCTCGATCGGATACTTTTTGCCAGGGGTGGTATATGGCATTCGTGACATTCCGTATGAACGTTATCTCGGTCAGTTTGTTTGTAAACAAAGGGGTCTGCTTCGCGCAGACGATAATAATACCAGTGCCGGACTATAAATGAACTTTATCGCGAGTTATAGCTGCATAGTGCTGCAACTAATTGTGTAACGCGCCTCGGTTACATAAGAAATTGTTGCGGATGCGCGACGAATGCGTTCTTGGGTCGCGTGCACGGATTCCGATGCAGATTGATCGCAGGCTGCCTATAGACAGGACCTCGTGAGTTTTTCGACCACTGCAGGCCAGTTGTCTGTCATGACACTGGGCCAAGTCATGCTCAACCCTAGAAGGGGGGCTTTCGCTTCGACTCGCCACGTATGAAATGTTAGAAACCCGTTCTTTCTAGAATACTTTTCCCTCAAAGTACTCGTCGAGAATCGACTCGCTTAATCCCTGCTGCAGGCAGTGGACGTGTACCAGCAACGACAAAGCTGTACACGAGTTATTGATTCTAGCGTCGAGCAGAATTTAAAGAGAAGCCCCAGATTGAGAGCGGGTGCAGCCTAGCCAGCAACATCAGAACCGTATGAAATTGTATGAAAAGTTACTCACGTATTTGTTTCTCTCAGGAACGATTCGAATGAGAAGTAGGCCAAAACCGAAGGACCAGTCCCTCGCCGCAGTCTCGAGCTTCTCGTTTCTTGGAGCCCGTTCTGCCAACGGAATCGAACGAATTCTCTCGGATTTCCAAGCGGTTTCTTAGGCTCCGCTGGGCTGCTGCGACCTGAACGTTCGGATATCACCGGTGAGTGGACTCTTCTACGGTGACACGGGTCGGTCCAAGTAGGGTCTTGGTGAAGTAGTCGAACACAACTCCGTTGCAAAGTGAAATGAAACGCGTACGGAAACGAAGTCGGGAAACCGGCGTGCGAGCGGAACGGATGGCTGAACGGTCCTCTTTCTTTTTCACGTGGTTACGAACGGTGCGGTATATGTCACCGGACCGTTGGGTTTGCCGAGGGTCACGAACGATGCTTGTTCATTCTCTGTGTGTTTCTTTTTGCCTTTCTTTTGTTTTTGGTTTGATTCGTTACGACACTTACGGACTAGGAATCCCGTGGTTGGATCGAAACTAGTGTCCAATTTGTCTGATAGACGCAAGAGAGGTTTTTTGACGAAGTACCCTCTTGGCTGATCGCCGGCGCGAGTCGCGCGATCTGACCTCCTCGTCCGTTCGACTGCGTCTGAAAGGACCGGCGCAAGTGTCATCCGACCATACGTTGCCGACGAGCCGGCACGGCGCGGCGCGCGTGCGCCACGCTCAGCCTCGTGCGTTTCACGTGATTCGGACGGATCCACGAATCAGGGGGCCTCGGGGCCCACGTGTACGCATTCTTACACGGTGCTGGCGACAAACTTGATTCGTGGGCCAGAAGTTAATAAGAATCGGGAAAAGGGAACGACAGCCGATCGTTGACCGACCACCGGTTTTTACCTGAATTTTTACTGCAAAACCCTCTATCCAGATACCCCAACGAACGGAACACGAAGAAAGTTGATTGCCGCATGACTCCCTCTCGGCCCGTTACCTCCTGAACGCACTTTAAAGCACCGCTTTCATCGGACCGCTCCGCTCGGGCATAGATATCGGGCTAGGATTTTTCAGGGGATCCGATTCAAATCACGTTTCGACGCCGCTTACGCGTCGACGCGTAGGTACGCTGCCGTACGAAAATTGCGTATCTAAGCTATCATGTAAACAGTGTGTTGAAGTAGGTATCTAGAGTAAAGATAGCAGCAATAAAAATGACATAACTCGGGGTATGAGGGTTAAACGCGAAAGCGTGATTCTTATTGGCAATCATTTTGTAAAAACACGCTTACGAATCGCTGATATAGTAAATACGTAACGAGGACCGTTCTTATCTTATTGAAAATTATATGATAATCCAAAGATGCAAGTAACGCGTATGCGGCGGAGGAGATGTATGTATTTCTTTTGCAAACGCTGACCTATGATAGAATCGAGAATTTCTATTTATAGAATTGCCCAAGGGTAGACGAAATTAATATTTAATATAGAATCTGCCGTTTATTTTCGAACTAGTCTCTACCGGTTCTACTCTGTAGAAAAACATTTAATTCGCGACACGCGCGAAATGTGACCAACGAAACCGAGGAACATCGTTCCCCTGTTGTTAAACAAATAGATGCGATTATGAATCGCATTGGTTTCGGAAACAGCCCTTTTCCTTGTATGAATCAGAGCAAACACGAATGAGTATTCAAGGGATTCACGCAGCGGGGTGCAACCGTTAAGATTGTCCGTTCCTAACGCCTGTTTAGAGGGACAATGAGTCACTGGAACTGAAAGTGAAATGATTCGAATCGTCGAAAGAGAGAGAGAGAGAGAGAGTAATTTATAATGTTTGTCGCCGGATCCGTAAATTCGTGTTAATCGGTACTTTATATATGAAACAGTGTTGCGCCACAAAAGTAATGTTCGCCGATAAGAATTTGTAAACAGAGTTGGTCTACGACCGTAGAAAGAAATTTGTTCGCTGGGTAGCCGCTCTATTGCCGGGCACGGATTAGACGGCGCAGGTATAAACGAGCCCTCTCGGGGTAACACGACACGCCGCCATGTTAGCTCGGACGCAAAGACGTCTATTATATTCTAACGTGCTCCGTTAAGTCCATTGTCGCGCCGCGAGAGAGAGATTACAAACGCCTAAAACCCGATACCTCTTGCTCGGGAAGCTCGAAACTGTGAAGACATACTCGCCGCGAAGGACAATGTCGACTCCCGGTAATTTTTCCGCCGTTCAAACAAACAAACCGCCGCTGCGAGCCGTTTCGTCTCCCGTCTGGCAATCGTTATCGCGCGATTTTATTGAAACACCGATTTTTACGAGAAGTTAATCGCGAGGCGAGGATACGGCAAAATAAAATGTACGATGGACGTAACGATAAAAAGAATCTTCTTTCTTTTTTTTTGTTTTCTTCCTTTCTTTGAATC